TGTGAAGGGCATTGAAAGGATCTTAAATCTTATTTGAGCAAGGTGTAGGACACCTTAAATATTTTTTGGAAATTGAAGTGGCAAGATCAGAGAAAAGGATAGTCATCTACCAAAGAAAATATGTATTGGACTTGTTACAACAAACAGGATGTTGGGATCTAGACCTGCAGATACTCCTATAGACATCAATCACAAGCTTCATGGAGAAAGGGGAGAGCTACTCAAAGATCATCAATATCAACGAATAGTGGGAGAGCTTATATATCTCACAAAAACTCAACCGGACATTTCCTATGCAGTTAGCGTGGTCAGCCAATATATGCACGCACCACGTAAACCCCATCTCGATATTGTGTACAAAATATTAAGATATCTTAAGTTTGCACCTGGGAAAGGGATATTTTTCTCAAATCAAGGACATCTTGGGCTGGTTGCCAAACTAATAGAAGATCCATAACTGGCTATTGCACCTTCATATTGGGAAACCTGGTTACTTAAAAAAGCAACAAGCAAAATGTGGTGGCAAGATCAATTGTTGAAGCAAGCTTCAACATACAGAGCAATGGCTCATCGTACATGCCAAGTAATGTGGATCAAAAGTGTTCTTTTTTATTTGAGTGATACGGTTAAGCTTCCCATAACTCTATATTGTGACAATGAAGCAGTAATTCATATCGCAAAAAATCATGTTTTTCATGAAAGGAGTGAATGCATTGAAGTAGATTGTCACTTTATCAAAGGGAAGGTTGTTGTCAAGATCATTCAAACTCCTCATGTGAAGTCTAAAGATCAACTTGTAGATATCCTCCCCAAAGCCGTTGATGAGACATATTACATGATATCACAAGCAAGATGGGCATGATTGATATCTTTGCACCAGCTTGAGGGAAAGTGATGGAAATTGAAGGAAGAAGCTTTATCGTATTTGATGAATAGAACTGTCATTTATCTTTTGTTTAGTCTTTATTTTTCTTATGTCTCTAAATAAGGGTAATATTGTCCATAAATTGTAATTAGGGTTACTACTTAATGTTATAAGAGGGGTCGAGGTTATAAGTGACCCCTAAGCCACTCACTTTCCCTCTCTATTTCTCTATCTCTCACACGTCTCTCTCTCTCCCCCATCTTCATCATCATTATTTTCTTTCCTCTCTTTCTCTCTCTAGATCTTGCCAAACTGTGTTCTTCTCTGTGTTAATAGATTCAGATAGGTCTAACCGGCAAAATGAGAGGGGACAAACATGGGAAGATTGTATAGTACATGCTCTGCAAAATAACAGAGAGCACAATGTTCATGTTCAAATTGCAGAGTTTGCTGAGGAAATGGAAGCTTACAGTATTTTAATATGCGGGATGCAGGGACAATGCAGTCAGGGGTCCAATGCAGTCGATGCAATCCCGATGTGGGTGCAACACCTCCGATGCAATCAATAAATTAAAAAAATTAAAATCCTAAAACATAATAATGCATAGAAAACTATATGTGATTTATGTGATACAAGGTATTTAAGTTTATTCATTATCTCTAATATATTAGTTGCCTGCGACACTGGGTCCCCTGATAGCCTGATAAAAAGCAATAGAGTTCTTTGTTCTAACTTCTAATCTCAAATAGTTTAAATGTCTAATACAATCAACATGTAAAAAAAAGTAATATATTATCCATTATTCCAAACTTCACATAAACATCAAAAATTCCAAAATTTAAACTTTAAACTTTAAACTTTAAAGAGGCAACAACCAAGAGTTTATGACAAAAAATGGGGGGAAGAAAAAGAGAGATAATCAACTCTCAAGTCTGAACTCTCAATCACCTCGCACATCCAAAGCCGAGGATGCAGAGGCATCATCATCACTATCATCCCCCACCCACTTTTACTTCTTCCTCAGTCTCCTTTGGGTCAGCCTTCTCCTTGTCACTCCCCTTCATGTACCATAGTTGCTGGGATTGGGATCGGGATCGGGATCAGGGTGAGAGATCGTGAAATGTTACAAGATCCCTATGGTTGGGAACATTATCCTTACAATGCACATGATAGGGATCGAGATTTCCAAATGTTAGGGATAGAGATTCCAACCTTTTGAGGATCTTGATCCCGACCTTTTGGGATCTTGATCCCAACTTTTTGGGGATCTTGTTACCAACCTTAAAGTGTATAATAATCCTAGACTATTATACACTTTAAAGTAGGGATCTTATTATTGATAGCAAGTAAGCAATAGTTGTGTCATTAGTTGGCTATAAACAAAGAAAATCATCAATTTGGTTGTTGTCTTGATCTTTAAGGTTAGGATCGAGATCCCTAACAGCAGGAATCAGGATCCTTATAAGTGGGGTTTGAGATCCCAAAATTTATAATCGAGATCCCTGAAAGATCTGTTCCGAGAGCGATAAAATCGAGATCCTGGAATGGATCGCCTGCCAAAGTAGGAGATCCCGGTAACTATGCCATGTATACTTCTTTTTTGGCTTTTCAATACTTTAGAACAAAGTAATATGGATTTCATGAGTTTTTTTTTTTTGGGGGGGGGGGGACGAGGGCATGGGGGGGAAGGGGTTGGGGTGTGGGGAGTATTACCCCCCCAACTCCTCCAACCCCCTTTTTGACTGCGAAAGGGACAATTTTGCCCATGCTTGTACTTTCCACACATGAGCATGGACTGCATATGCGGGTCCATTGCTTGTAACATATGCGATTGATGCGCTGCATATGCAGGCGCATCACATGTTACCACATATGCAACATGGAGCTAAGCACTCCAGGCCGCATATATGGACCCATTTTAAAACAATGGAAGCTGAACAGTTTCTAGACTGGTTGGACAGCATTGAAAATTACTTCCATTGCAAAGAAGTCTTGGAGGAGAGAAAATCAAACTTATTGAAGCCAAGACGAGAGGTCCAAATTCTAGTTGTGAATACAAGATCAGCACGATCGCGAAATTAATGGAAAGAGAAGGGTCAAAAGATAGTAAGATGAAGGACAAGTTGAAGGATCTATTTTTTCCTCTAAACTATGAAGAAACTTCATATTATAAGGCCAATTTTTTCGTCGAGACTATGAGCAAACTTTGCATTATAAGGTACAAGTCTGCATCAGCTGGAGAAGACCATGAGGGAATATACTCAAGAGTTCCATCAACTGACATAACAAAGTAACTTAAGTCTAGAATGAAATCAAAAGAGTTAGCTTGTATCTGTATAGTCTTCAGTTTGCAATACAAGTTCAGGTGGTACTATGTTGGCTGTATAAAGTATGTAATGGATGTGAGCTTGCCTTAAAAGTGGAAGCCAACTCACCTGTGGAACACCTAAGAAGATTGGGAATGATTGCAGTGGCAATGCAACATCTAACTGTGGAACCAAACCACCTGCAGTGGGCACACAGTAGCCCCACAAGTCTTAACAAAATCCTAATAATGGAAGAGGAGGTCAAGGTCAGGGTAATCAGTAATGTACATGTACAAGGGGAATCAAACGCTTTAGGTGTTCAGAAGTTGGGAACAAACCAATTGAGTGTCTAAGAAGAAGGAATGAAGTTCAAGTCAATCTAGTAAACAACCATGATCTACAAATTGAAGAGAATTTGGCACAAATGGAAGGTGAAGAAATTCATGAGCCAACTGCTATTGAAGAGGAACGAGTTGAAGGTGACATGGTTGGTGAAAACACTTGTCATCTGACAATCAGTGCTTGCACCACAGGTCAAAACAATGACGATTGGCTCCATAAAAAAAACTTCAGAACCCACAGAACAGCTAGAGGAAAACTTTGCAAGCTATCATTGATAGTGGGAATAGCAAAAATCTGGGTGCTCAAGAGATGATAGACAAGCTGAAGCTCAAGACAATGAAGCACTCACAACCTTACCGAATTCTTTTGATTCAACAAGGAGAACATTGTCTCTTCTTAATGCCCCGTCAGCTTTCCAATTGAGACTTCCTCTGAAGAATTGGTGTGTTGTGACTTGGTTCCAATGGACGTATGTCGCATCTTATTAGGACATCCTTAGCGATATGATCAGAAAACTATCAGCCATGGTGACAAGAACACCGATTTGTTCTTCTTAGTGATAAGAAAAATGTTTTAAAGCCAACGAAAGATAATGCCTTGGCAAAGAAGGAAGTCGTTGCATCCACCTTCTTTAATCAAAGAAAGTGAAGAGTGGAATGTTCTTTGTGCTGGTCGTGAAAGAAGACATCAGGCCACACCAATGCCAAGAGGAGGGATGGATTTATTGGAAGAGTTCAAGCACATTCTGCCTCAAGAGTTTACCCGATGGGCTAGCCCCAATGAGGGAAATTCAACACTATATTGATTTGACACAAGGAGCTGCCTTACCAAACCTTCCCCACACCAAATGATTCACAAAGAACATGAGGAGCTCCAAAGGCAGGCATTTGAACTTCTCAGAAAGGGCCTTATCCGGAATAGTGCAAGCCCATGTATTGTGTACCCACCTTACTTCCACCAAACAAACACGCCCTTAGAGTTGGCCTCCACCATGTCACACACTCTTCTTGAACCTTTGAAAGAAGATGAGGCAGGTCTAGATCTAAAGAACAGTATCAGTTGGAAAATGAACAATTTTAAACTCCAAACTTAAAAGTTGTTCTTCATCGCACAAAGCATCTTGGTCCTTAGATGAGGCAAAGTATATTTATTTTCAGCTGTAAATTCAGCAATAAATGAAAGTAAGATTTTATTTTATATCTTCTTTTTATTTCTACCATGCTACTGTATATCTGTAGTAAAGAGAATACATATTTGGAAAGAGAAGTGAAATTCAGAAAAAGGTAAGTTCTAAAAATCAGAAAATTCCTACCTAAGCCTCTAAAGTGAGCTACAAGAAGATCATATTCCTACACTAGATCCATTCCAAATCCATGCAAAAAGCAAGCAATTATTGTAAGAAATGAATCACGCTTTAGATAAAGTCGGAAAACAAATATTTGTTACTGTTTATTTAAGGAAGCTTTAAAGTAGAAAAACAACTTACCGCTAAATGTGTGCCATCAATAACAGCAATCAGATTTACATTCACAGCGCGCCTCCAAGAACTGGTTCCGTCGCTTTTATCTTGGTAAAATGAGATTGGAGTGCTTATACCGGCACAATTGATGCAGATATCTAACTGTCCAAATGACTCCATATGCTTATCAAATGCAGCAGCAAGATCACCTAGGCAACATCATATCAATATCAAAGCATCCACTTGAACTAGCAAAACAGTATGCAATTAAAATGATATAAAAACCATACCATGACAAAAGTTAATTTCCAGAATAGAACAGCGACATGGATTCACACAGTAGAAAGTGAAGCCGTTTACAGCTTAATGTCAGATACCAACTAAAATATGAAAATATTAGAACAATAGGAAACATATAGAAGCAAGCACTTATCAGCTACATAAAGCCAAAAACAACTTGACTCAAGCAATAAAAAGCCACACAAAATGATAAAATTTATTCAGGATCTTATTCTCTTGGATTAGTTTCCATTATACTCATGTAAATGATAAAGGTAGAGAAAACCTTGGCACTAGAAATCAATTCCATAGGATTTTCCCTAACAATGAAATTTTATCAATACTGGTTCTTAATATTAATGACAACAAGAATCTTTGCTGATCAATAACATTCTGATTTAATGATTGTAATAAATACTTTTGTTGGAGAATGGACTCTAGGCAGAGGCGATAAGGTTGGCAGGTAACACAACGCAACATCTAGAGTTCCATTCTCAACAGGTCCCAACTCCCAAGTTAACATTCAAAAAAGAAAAAAAAAAAATTGTTGAGCATGTGACCCTGGAAACTATCACTGTTGTACTACAGTTAATATTGAGTATATTAAAATGACAGTCACACCTGGGAAAAGTAAAATTCATGGAATCTGCAAATTTCATGTGTATGATTAACAAGAAGTTTAAGACTACTTTTTTTTTTGTAAGTACGATGCAGTCTCACTACATTGTGGAGTATACAGTATCTGCATATAAGACCAACGTATAGTATAATGAAAGGAGTATGGCCCCTTATGCTCCACTTTTTTTCTTTTTTCTACATTTCTGCCTGTCTGCTCTCTATCTCTTATGCATTCATGCAGCCCAAGCAATGTGATTATTCCCTTTCAGTGATGATATAATGCAAATACCATGCAACAATGAGAATTCTCTGAGAGCAATAAAAACCCAAAGTAATAATCTCATAGCTAGAAAAATCAATTAAAAATAAAATCTTTTGGGTAACCAGGAGACTAGACGTGGTGCTTCATGCCATTAGTCTAGAAGAAAGAACTGCTACTGAAGACAACTTAGTAGGAAAGGCATTCTAACCCTATATGGAAACCAAGTTACAAATTTTGTAACCTAAGAGCACAATCTTTTCTTGTACAAATATGATCCTCAAAGCATCACCCAAAGTTTGATTCAAGTCTGTCAAGAAAAGCTCTGAAACAGGAGATAAGAGTCTCTGATGGTACAAGAGAATGTATCATGCACCAATGTTCGTACATAAATATCTATGTATGTGTTTGTATGAATTTGTATACAGATATATAAACTGGGAAAACTTTATGTGTTCCTACATGGTGTCTCTAAAAAACACATAAAGTTAGTGTCACTAGCCCATCTCCACCACCATTCAATTGGACACTGGAGATTGAAGCAGCAACACCCAAATCAAAATAAAACAACTGGACACCCAAATCAAAAATAAAACAACCGGCTGCAACTGGTAAAAAGAAGCCAACACCCGAATAAAAAATAAAACAACCGGCTGCAACCGGTAAAAAGAAGCCCAACTCCCTCACTCCCTCCCTCCCTCCCTCCCTCCCTACCCCCCTATCCCTGCACCCCATTCCCTCCTCTCTCCCTCCCTTCCTACCACACCCCCTCCCTCCTGCCCCACACCCCTCTCTCCCTGCCTCAAGAGTGTAGCAGATCACCCAGGACATCCCTGTGATTGCTTCCATGTGCCGAAGAGGAGTCCTCGGCAGCCAATTCCAAGTTCTTCTCATCAACCAACTTGGCTAAAAAGTTCTTCCTCTGAAGATTCTCAAAGCCTTGGAGATAAGGATCCTTCTAAGACAGTTTTATTGACTGATTTGCTTAACTTATCATGACATAGGCACGGGGTCTCTTGACGTTTGGACCTCATCTGGACATCATCAACATCCAAGGCAAACACTTCAAGTTGTACCTGGAGGGATCTCCAAATTCCTATAAGAAAACCTTCAAATGTGAGCCCACAGGTAACCAATATGCTCATTAAAAGTGACAGTTGCAAGTTGCTTCTAATCTTGATGCACTGAATGCTGCTATATGCTGACAAGAGAACTCCATATTTCCCTACCTTAAAGGAAGTCATTCTCCAGTCTATCCAACAACCTTTGCAATGCAGTCAGCAGATTTCTCAATAACAAAATGGAATTTACTAAATAATAATGGCACAAACGTCTGTCACTTGCTTCATGGCTAAATGGTATCTTTATTTTACTTACTTATTTTTTATTTTTTGGAGATGCTAACGGGTATAGTAGGTAGGAATGGAACCCGCAAGGCCATGTTGTGGCACCGTCATGCTCACCACATAATCGCTCAAAGGCCTTTTTGTTCCCTTCATTATACAGGTAATCCATAGCTCTTTGGCATTGTTTAATGAATACATGATGCTAAGTGAATTTAATGTAGTAATCCATTGATCAAGTCATAAATATTCCCCTAACAAGGCATTTTTCCAGCAGGACAAAATGTTCACAGCACCACACTTCCCCTCACACTCAGCTGATTGTTCAAGAAGCTATAGTCATCTCGTCTTCAAGCATTCATCTAATTGTATGCATTGATGTAGTTTGCCAGTTATCAGTTGCAAGGACATTTACATCCATCATAACACCATCAAGATGATCATATATGTGCAACCTAATTTAGGACAATGCATTGATAGTTGAAAATCCCATACAACATGATGGAGCCTTTCCCATATCTCAAGGTTCTACAAATAAAAATTGCAATCACAATACTTGAACTGTCATATCCAAGTTCCAAACAATCTTAATCATGTCTAAAAAATTTCCATGTGCACTTCCAAATTAGAAAACCCTAATTTATTGGGAAATGAAAATTTTTTGTAGCAAAGTGGAGAGTACATTTCTTTATTTCAAGAAAGGTCATAAGTTGTTAAGCAAAGTTGTCCACAAGCTCCACCACAAAAGCACTGGCTTTGACCAAAAACAGCAATCAAGTATCTAGAAGAATAAAAATTTCACAAAGGCTACAGTAAGGTTACATTGTGTATTGTACAAGCCTTAAAACAGCTAACAAGAACAAAAATTAGAACAATGTTATGTAAATATGTCACGCTTACCTGAATTAGATACGTCACACCTAATAAACAGTGATGATGGAGCTTGTAACATTGGATGGAACTTTTTAAGCTCCCTTTCAACAAGGACAGAAACTTCTTTCCCGTTTACCTCAGAGAAATCGACAATTGTAACATGAACCCCTTTCTTTGCAAGAGTCAAGCTAAGCGCTTTACCTATAACAGTGGCCATAATTAAATATGGTGATCATCAGCGATACTGCCTAAGTATGGCCATGAATCTTGAAAGAATAATGCGTAACAAACATGTGTGTGGGTGTATAGCTTAAATATTTAAGTTTGTCACAATAAATGCTTATCCACCCAACATGGGAAATTGTTGTTTCAAGCAATTTAATAAAGTAGGTATTGCTCAGACACTAATACCATGATATCAAAGGACAAAGAGAAAAGAGTGTTCATTTTATTTTCTGCCGAGACGTTACTTCAAGTACTCATGCTATGGACTTATATATGCAAATCCATGTAAGACATCACATAATCAATTCAGCTAAGCCAATGAGATATACTGACAAAGATTAAGATATACCTTTTGTACAACATGATATATACTCATCCCAATGATCTTAAATATAAGATTAGGCATCTTAGAAAAAATAACGGCCGAAAAATAAGTTTTTCTAGCAATTCCACTCTTAAATATAAGATTAGGCATCTTAGAAAAAATAACTGCTGAAAAATAAGTTTTTCTAGCAATTTCACTAGGGACATGGTTGATTGAGATGTTTCCCAGGAATATTAGGATACACAAGACATTATCCAAATAGCAACATCATATAGGACCCTAGGCATAACACGATTGGTTATGCGGTCGCTTATTGTTGCCCCAATAAAATTATAAGAGTAGTGGGAATTTGTATCCCGAGCATTTTCTTGAGATTCACTAAGCAAATGATCAATAAAATTTAGAAAAAACACAAAACAGACAAGTAGATGGCAATGAAAGCACTTTAATAACATTAGATAGAGCACCGGCACCACTGCACAGTTATGCCTATTGATCAGGATAATAAAACAATACTTGATTTGTTTGATATTTCAAGAAACTCAATGTATTTCTAACACAAGGAACTACTTCATTTCTATAATTAAAGTTCAGAAACCCAATTCAACTAGAAGGATGACAGCTCAACAGCGGTCTCTGTAAATAGTTAGAGCAAATAAACATGCATGCATAGAAACAACATGATTTTTCAATGGCATCATCAGAGATACAGTGACCGATTGGAAAAAGAAAGAAAGAAAAAAAATAATAAAAAATAAAAAATAAAAAGCAAAAGGATAGATTGAATGGATGATCTGAGAGAGGGAAGCAAGGTTACCAATTCCAGATGCCCCTCCTGTAACGAAGGCAGACAAGCCTGGTTCAAGCTTCATCGTTCCCAACCAAAATTGCTGGTTCAGGGAAATAAAAACTGATAAACTAAAAAGTAAATGGGAAATGAAGCTCCAAAATTACAGGAAGAGGAGAGAAGAGGGAGAAACTTTATTAATAGGAGCTGAAAACTCTGCTTAATAGGAGAGAGAGGGGACTGAAAACTCCATTAATAGGCGAGACAGGGGACTGAAAACTCCATTCATAGGAGAGAGAGAGAGAGGAGGTGACGAGAGACACATCCGATTATGTTACTATTTGCAGTTTAGATTTTACGTACACGATAATCGCGGGTTCGATTTTTCCTATGCTTTTTCTTGTTTTTCTCTTTTGGGTGGTTTGACGTGGGGAAGACAGGTCACCCGGTACCCCTTTTTTCCAAATAAGAGTTGGTTTTTTTTTTTATATATATAATTACGAAAATACTATTTCGGTATATAACAAATCATTTTCATATCACAATAAAAGAAAATGCCGTACCCAAAACTATACACTGTTGGGCCGCCTATTCCAAATAATTTTGTCGGACCGCTCATTAATCCAAAAACAAATGTCAGACCGCACTTGCAAAACTCCGAAACAACTTTTACTCCAGTGACATAATCATTGGACCACCTCTTCCAAACACCGAACCACACACTCTAGTGACATAAATGTCAGACCGCCTCTTCCAAATGTCGGACAGCCATGGCGAAGGGTCGGACCTCCATTGTGAAGTGTTGGACCGTTCCAAATTAGTGACTCAAGTGCTGGACTGCCTCTTCCAAATGCTGGATTGCCATGGTGAAGTATCGAACTGTCATGGTCAACATGTGAGGTAAGGGAGGGGTATTTTAGTCTCGATTTTTTTTTTTTTGAGTTAGGGATATTTGCTAGAAAACATGCTTTTGGGGAAAAAATTACTAGGAAAAGTTAGGTTGGGTAAATTGTTTAGATAGTCCAGTTTTGAGGGTTTTATGCTATTTTTCTTTTTTCTTTTTGCGAGTGTTAGTGGGAATGGAAACCGCAAATTGGTGACTATAGTATGGAGGTATTTTTCCTAATTTCTTGTTATGTCTTTATACTTGAGGAAAAATTAAAGTACATAATCTCTTTTTTTAAATTAAAAAGAGGCAAGTCATTAAAAAGAAGAAGAAAAGAAAAAAAGAGAGGAAGGTAAAAACCTCGCTTTAAAACCTCACTGGAAAATGCACTCCCAACATGTAAACTCTTATGATGACTAGTAAATCTAGTATCATTCCTACTCGTGAAATCTAATAATCAAGAAATAGTAAACATCTTGTGGATCTACTGTGATGACCCTAAATTTAAAAAATCTCGAAGGATGGATGTCACCTCATGACACGTGTGGGAACCAAGGCATTTCTGATTTATTTCTTTAATTCTTATATGTTAATTATCTTGAGAACGTCCAATGTTCGGAAGAACCTTCAAATTGATTTTGCAAAAAAAAAAAAAAAGTAAATGACCCATTTAATAATCATAATAATAATAAAATAAAATAGTAATAATTATAATTATAATAATATAGTAATAATAATAACAAATAAATAAATAACAAATAAAATAAAAATAATTATATAAAAAAATAATTTTAAATGATGGTCCACAGTGTTAAAAATACATCATGGGACTATTATTTTTATTTAACACTATTTTGCTTCAAAAAAGTAATAAAAAAATAGTGAGGTGTCCATTACACTCATTAGTACGAGGTGGCACAAAGTAGCACTAGGTGGCCATAAAGTATGAGAGTTGGCACAAAGTAGTATTAGATGGGCCACAAAGAGTGATGATGTGGCACAAAAAGAGATGAAATGACTCATATTAAAAATAAAAATGACACATGGAGGACGTGTCAAAAATGAATTAATTCTCCCCACTTATAAATAACGCCTTAACTAACCTCCACAATTGGTTTTCTCTCTTTTCTCCCCACTTATAAATAATCCCTTAACTAACCCCCACAACTGGTTTTCTCTCTTTTTTCTCAAATGTGTACTTCTTCTCTCTCTTCTCTCTCTCTTATTTCAATAATTTTGTATCTCTCCCTCGTCATATCTTTTTCATATGATATTAATGATGTTTTCATAATTATATTATGATAATATTATCATTCTTGTGTATTATTATTACCTCATAATAATGTCATGATTTTAAGGATATTATCATTTTCATAATAATATTATTATTATTATCTCATAAAATATTATGATAATAATTTTTTTTTCTCTCTCTCTTATTTCAATCATTTTCTCTCCCTCCATCATCATCTTCTCACAATGATACTCATAATTTTATCATTCTCTCTCATTTCAATTATTCTCTCTCCCTCATCATACTCTTTTGATGCTAATATGATTAACAATATTCTCATTATGTTTTTAATAATGTTCTCATGATAATATTATGATTTTAATAATATTTTTATTATCATATTTTCATAATGATATTATGATTAATAAAATTCTCATGATAAAATAATGATTAATAATATTCTCATTATCATACTCTCATGATGATATCATGATTTTAATAATCGTCTCATTATTCTCAAAATGATAATATTCTTATAAAAATAATATTATTTATATAATTAATATTTTCATGAAGTATTATTTTCTCATAACAATATTTCTCTCTCTCTCT